GGCACCGCCGCCCGCACCGGGAGGGGGGCGGGGAGGGTGGGCGGCGGGTCTCCGGTCTCACAGCATCCCTGGCCCCGGCCCCTCCAGGTGTGCCCGGCTGCGGGGGGGAGGCGGCGCAGCTCTGGGGCAGAGAGCGCTGATTGTCCCCCTTCCCTCCCTCTGACTGTTCAATAGGAGAGGGAAAACCCTCCCAGCCCTTTGCCTGTGCGTGGCCTGGGCACGCAAAGCTGCTGCATGCGCTTTAATTTACGAATGAGGAAGTTGGATCCCGTTTTGGCAGGAGCCCACGTGTTCCTTATCTCCTGCTTTGGCTGCGGAGAGAGTGAGAGGGAAGCGACAGGGGGAAAAGGCGGGTGCTTTCCGGGGGCACCTGCCAAAGCTGGGCCCTGGAGCATGGGAAGGTGGCCAGGTGCTGTGTCCACCTCCGGGATGAGCCTCCCCGCAGCCACCCCTGGTGTCTTGTCGTTGCAGGGGTTTTTCCTCTGTGGTGGCCCTGGGAGCCAGCATCATCTGTAACAAGATCCCAGGTCTTGCCCCCCGGCAGCGGGCGATCTGCCAGAGCAGGCCCGACGCTATTATCGTCATCGGGGAAGGGTCCCAGATGGGCATCAACGAGTGCCAGTTCCAGTTTCGCAACGGGCGCTGGAACTGCTCTGCCCTGGGAGAGAGGACCGTCTTCGGGAAGGAGCTGAAAGTGGGTACGTTGACTCTCTGCTTGATGCTGACCAGCTCCCACCCGCATGACAGCAAAAAGGGGGTGCATGGGAAGGGTCAGTGGCACAGCTGTTGGTGTTGGGAAAGACCAGCCAGCTCACAGACCTAGCTTGGGCCAGCCAAGGTAGGACCGTCACCTCAAGTGCGTTCACCTGGATGCTGTGGCTGTTGTTACCAACATGACTGACGTCTGTCCTTCCTCCTAGCAGGGTACCTGCCGCGGCCCTTGCCGTGGCTCAGGAAAACACTTTCACATGCGTTAGCCTCCACCACAGTACTTCAGTGTCCTGCTCTCAAAAATCTTTTCTGAAAGATTTTCCGTCTGTGTGCACAGGACGGCAGCCTTATCCATGAACTTAAGGACGAGAAAAAGGTGTTTGATTCTTGTTAAAGGTAGTGGTCAGAGACCAAATGCTCAGCGGGGTTAGAACTACATTTCTGGGGTGCAGGCACCTCACCAGTGACACTGGCCTGATGCTTATACCTGTTGGGACTGAAGTCCAGCAATCAATCTCATTATAAGAGATTCCCACCACATAAAATAGTTATTCTATAGCAACTGTATCTAGTGCCCTCTCTCCCACCAGAAAGAATGGGTGTGTTCTGGTTTGAGATGTCAGGGCATTTATAAAACCTGTCCCAATCAACAGGCAGAAGATTCCATTTCCAGTTTCTATTTTTTTCAGTTATTGCAACAGTACAAAATACTTCGAAATTCTTAACTAAAACAGC